CTTGCCTGTAGTGTAGTATTTAGGCAGAGAGATGTCTCTGAAGCCAGAAGTAAAAATAAAACAGTTAATTGTAAACAAAAAACAAAGAAAACCCCCACCAACTTTAGTCCATATATTCTATACATAGAATTGGCCAGGGCTTGTTCTCTACAATAAGTCTGAAATGTGGAAGTACCTTAGATGAATCTGTTGGCATAGCAACTTAGACTGAGCGGAAGAGTGCCATCATAGTCAGAAAATAGTGTATGTTGTGATGTTATTGCATGTTACTGCCATTTCTCTGCAGACAAGGCCCTCTGGGGCTCGCATTAAACTCATAATGATTCAGTTCAAGCTTCTGAGAACACTTGGTCCCTGTAGCACATACGCTGTAGTTTAATGTAGATATTACCAACGATGTTATCACAGTCACTCCCATAACAGCAGGATGGCACCTAACCTTGCAGTTACCATGCTGAGAATGGGCAGAAGGTCCATTTTGCCTCCAACACAGTCATATGGTTCTTGTCTGTGCTGCCTTCATCATCATCAACTGATAGTTTATTATTACTTCTCTCAGGATTGTTCGAAGGCTGCAGAAGTTACCAGATGGGATACCAGGCTGTTCCTTGCTATTTGGGATAAAGGGAGTAGGGGTGTCTGCTCTCTGGGGGAGGGAAACAAAGGTCTTATGAATAGCGTACAAAGCACTTGTATACAGCAGCATTGAGACTCACGTTTGTCCAAATGAGGAAAAACAGAATATCAAAGCCTTCCACTTGGTCAATGCAGATGTGCTCTTATGAATTATTTTTTTAGTTTAAGATTTTTGGCATCAACATTGATGGAAAAGCTGTCATTGCTTTTAAGCCTTGTCTCCAATGGAGGTCTGTTTGTACCTAAGTACTCATACCTGAGTGGTGCCACTCACTGCAGGTCAAAAGATTACAAACTCTAATGATTGCAGTGGGAGAACTCACAAAAGCTTGAGATTCTTCACTTGTGTCTATCTTATTATACAGAGAAATTCAGTGAGCGTTAGAGCACCGTGGAAACGATCTGTGGTCTGAGTTCTCCAGCACTGTAATGGCAGATGCTGCAGGACCTCCACCACTGACCATCAGCAGTGTTTTCTGTAGTCCAACTTGACTTCTTTATTTTTTTGGTAGCTGGTCATTTTCTTCTCATAGTTGGCATACAGTTGGAACCCCTGTGAATTTCTTCTGCAGAAAGAGGCAGAGAAAGTTATATGTAGTGTATAAGGTCAGTCATGGGATTATCCTTTCTGAGTGCACAGAACTAAGCTGTGTCAACTAATAAGAGAAATAATCAACAACTCTGAGGCAGGGACAGAGAAAACAATGCCGAGAGGACTGGTTTGGCTCTTCCTGGGTTGATGCAGCCTTGTCTTCCTAAGGCTGAAAGCCAGGGCTCACAGGGATTTGAAGCCTTAAATGCTGGTCTCAGGGAGGGGGGAAAAGGAGGCAGTCCAAGGAATGCTGGTGAAAGCTGCCAGGCGTGCAGCAGGGGGAAGGCCCGTGGGCAGAAGTGCTTCTCTTTCCTAGCCAAAGATCTGGATTAGCTGCACTAAGGGGACTTTCCAGTCATCGCATGTGAGCTTTGTAGAGCTAAGGGAAAACATGAATATTGTAAGACTCATTATACTGCTGCTTTGTGCATTGGGGTTGACACAGCTATTAAGGCAATGCTCAATGCTTTGGATTCTGAAAGCCACAGCACTTGTTTCAGATGTCAAAAAGAAGTTAGCGTTTACAACGTGCCACATCCTTATTTAATCAAAGCTTTACACAGAGACTCTAGAAGAATAGAACTGTTCAACATAGCACATGTGTCAAAATTTTACATAGCAAGTGAGGTAGGTGTTCTTAACCAAACGGAAACCAATTTCTCCTGCACGTAAAAGCCTTGTATTACAAAATTTACAGCTTATTGGAACAGAAGTTCTGTTCACATCTTTTATAGGAAGAATGTAATAAACGAGGTTTTCTGATACTCTGCTGGTTTGGAATCACTAAGGGTCACTCTGCATCTGCAAACCAATGGACAGAGCCTCAGCTGAAGCCAGTGAAACCTCCCTAACTTGTGTTAGTAGGGCATGGAGACTTTAGCAGTATTATTTCTTTTCCAGATACAGTCAGATGGTAGGAGATACCAAAGCCTGTAGTAGCTGCGCTAAACACAGCCTTGTGCAAATGCTAGTGATCTAATGCAAGCCCTATGCAGTATCACAACTGTAATAATCATGACTAATAACTTGCTTTTGGATCCTTTTACTCAGCAGTCTGAAAGTGCTAACTGCTACCTAAATATAGATGAAAAAGTGACTCTGAAAGATTTGGTATATTTATTTCAATCTTTCTTATGAAAATGAAAGCTGGACACTTAATGAGAAAAATCGTGAAGTCTCTCATGTATAAAACCTTCAGATATGAGTGCTTTGTGGTTTCAGTTGGTTTGACACATTGTCAGCATTTTCTGACATTGTAATGGATAAAAATAAATATATATTTAAGCTTAGTGTATTATGTCCTGTTCTGAATTTTGGAGTTCTACGCAAAAATGGAAATACTAGTTAGAAAAAGGTGTGTAAAGAATAAACTTGTCTGGAGATTAAATGCTGCTGATTGAATAATGCATCAAACTGTCACAGCAACAGTTTTTTAGTGACTCAAGCTTTATGAATATTTACCAGAGTTGTCCTGGATGAAAGAAATTAAAAACATTACCTTCAGAGAACTGCTAAAGTCTTGGGTCTCCTTTACTAGGAGCAAATGTTTGCTGTGTTAGCAAAGCACTTGTTGAGCAGGGGGAAGTTGATGGGATTATTTTGCTTTATGTATGTGGAGTATCAGCGCTGTCATCCATGGTGGTATGGATACTCAATTAACATCACATGAATAATCTTCTATTCAGGCAGGAATAATGCAAGGCTATCAAACCACATTTCTCTCTGCTTAAATCTCATCTAGGGGAGAAGGATATAACAGATGATAAATCCCATTTACATCTTCCCTAAGATAAACTGTTAACTAGTCCTCATCCTTTTTATCACTGCCACTGTCTGTGAAAGGGATGCTATGGTCCTGGGCAGCAATGTTTAGTATCAGGATATGGAGCCTGTAAGACGCAGTTGGTCTGGCTGTTCTCTCCTACCTTTTACAAGCAACTCGCTCCATCTGCAGGCTCTTTCTTGACCACCCTCTGAACTGAATTTCAGCTGAATTGCTACAGGGCTTGCTAGGACATGAGAAAATTGCTGTCCTATTTGGCATTAATATGAACATGAGTATTTACCTTGGGAAAGGTGTGCTTCCAGCTAGCTGAGAATAATACCCCTCCTATACCAGGATAGGCTGGATTTATTCATTATAACATTTCTTAAATGCTGGAGGGCCAGGGCATCGTGGGCCAAGGATTTCACAGAAGCCGAACTCAAAGTGAAGGACTGTCTTACACATTTTAATTTTACTAGAACAGAAGTTTCTCTGTTCATAGAATCATTAAGGTTGGAAAAGACCTCTAAGATCATCGAGTCCAACCGTCAACCTAACACCACCATGCCCACTAAACCATGTCCCTAAGTGCCTCA